CAGGACATAATATTTTTATTAATCTTTTCGATCATCTGTTTAGGCTGAGCAAAACACGTTAAGTCCAGGCAGTGAAAACATTGTACGATTGAAAAATGGCGGAAAGTTGGCAACTGTTGAACTGAGCGGAACTACTCAACAGTGCGTTTCTAGGACAAACAGTCTACGGTTAGACAATATGAACGCGCCCAATGTGTCACGAATTAGGAGCATAATCAGAAAAAATCGGTGTGAGTGGTGTTGTCTAGAAATAATGAGTTTAGCTCAATAACAACTTTCAAACAACACCACTCTGTAACTGTTAAAATGTACAAATCTTGTGATCCCTGCTTTGGATGTAGATAAACATAGGGAGCTGCGAAAATGTTAAAATTTAAAGCTAAGTGCATAGTATACATTTAGGTTGTATGTTTGTTGTATATGTGAAGATTCATACAAATTATTTTCAAATTTATACACACACATGTATACACAGGAGCAAGCCCATGCCACCAACAGCGATGTTGTATGCATATAAATTCTACTGGGTATGTATGTAAGTTAACTACATATATACAAATGTATATATGTATATCTATACATGAGCAAATATGCCATATGGAGTTACACCGCGCGGTACCATACCGCTGCTGCTTGAGCAAACCTTTATAATGAAAACAGCTCTTATAAAGATTTTATTTTGTTGCTTTAAATAGAAAAGTTCTTTATATGTAAAGTACATCTTAAACTGAAGCATTTTCATCTAAGCTGAGGGCCCGTTGTTGATTTTGAAATTTTAGCAAAAGTCATTATAAGCCATTTATGAGATTGAAAACGAAAAACGTGAAGCGTATGCAGTACAAAGCATTACATTTAATTGACAATAATCAAACTCCATAACATAGACCTAAAATTTCTACAGAGAAAGTACAAATTTGAGATCGATTTTAAGAGGTCGTTATTCATATACCCACATTCATACATACATATATTCCCCTTCATATCAATTCATGTCTATTACATGCGCCCCACGCTTTTCATTTTCAATCTCATAAATGGTTTATAATGACTTCTGCTAAAATTTTAAAATCAAAAGTTACATATACAAATTTTATGGGACTAAGAAAAATTATTTTATAATTTTTAGTCCATTTATAAAAGCGTTGTATATTAAAAAGTTTTATTTTATTTTATGTACAAAATTTTGCAATAGATATTAAAACAATTCAACTTGCAATGAAAGAGAACAGAAGATTATGCAAGCAAAATATTTTTAAGAAAGTATAAAATCGATTGGAAATTTCCGCGATTTCCGCGGGATGACCAAGTTAAACAAAAGCTTGTAAAAATTCTGATTGAAATTAACAAAATAAAAATGTGTATTGCATAGAAGCGTGGCAATCCTGGCAGAAAATGTTTTCTGACCATAGTTCTCAACAACACCTTTCATTTGATATCCATATTGCGATGTTTTAGATAAATTCTAAGGGATAACATTTTGTATATAGAGAAAGCATTGTTTAAGAACCTTCTCTTGGTACCCATGAATAGTAATATTTTACCTTTTTTTCTAAACAAAACATTAAATATGCGATTAAAAATAGGTGGCAACCCTATTAAAAATATTTTTGAATTAGGGATCTTTAAAATACCTTCAATTTGGTACCCATATTGTGATGTTCTAATTAATTTGTAACTAATTTCGAATAGGTAGCAACCTTATACGAGTCTTCTCGGAGATATTGCCTATTCAGATAACCTCAAAATTCAAAATATTCAAAACGGTGTCGTAAGTGTCGTATTGTTGTATGTAGTAAACTTTAAACGCCTAAAAAATATATTACGGGGGATCGCAAAGTACCGTCAAAGTAATAATATGAATTTTCGCAGTGTTAAAAAATTTGTTGGTTGTGGTTTCAAGGGGTTTCTCTTGGTACCCATGAATAGTTATATTTTACCTTTTTTTCGAACCAAAAAATTAAATATGCGATTAAAAATAGGTGGCAACCCTATTAAAAATATTTGAATTAGGGATCTTTAAAATACCTTCCATTTGGTACCCATATTGTGATGTTCTAATTAATTTGTAACTAATTTCGAATAGGTGGCAACCTTATACGAGTCTTCTCGGAGATATTGCCCATTCAGATAACCTCAAAATTCAAAATATTTGGGGTATTCACAACGGTGTCGTAAGTGTCGTATTGTTGTATGTAGTAAACTTTAAACGCCTAAAAAATATATTACGGGGGATCGCAAAGTACCGTCAAAGTAATAATATGAATTTTCGCAGTGTTAAAAAATTTGTTGGTTGTGGTTTCAAGGGGTTTCTCTTGGTACCCATGAATAGTTATATTTTACCTTTTTTTCGAACCAAAAAATTAAATATGCGATTAAAAATAGGTGGCAACCCTATTAAAAATATTTGAATTAGGGATCTTTAAAATACCTTCCATTTGGTACCCATATTGTGATGTTCTAATTAATTTGTAACTAATTTCGAATAGGTGGCAACCTTATACGAGTCTTCTCGGAGATATTGCCCATTCAGATAACCTCAAAATTCAAAATATTTGGAATATTCACAACGGTGTCGTAAGTGTAGTATTGTTGTATGTAGTAAACTTTAAACGCCTAAAAAATATATTACGGGGGATCGCAAAGTACCGTCAAAGTACTATTATGCATTTTCGCAGTGTTAAAAAATTTGTTGGTTGTGGTTTCAAGATCTCTAGACATTTATTTAAGCTTTTAAAGTTTACGACATAAATACGACACCGTTGTGAATCCCTCAATTATCTGTGTACAAAATTTCAGCAAAATCGTTGGAGCCGTTTCCGAGAACGGCTCGTTTAATGTAAGAAGATGTATGTACATATTTTTTAATAAAAGCAACATTACCGAATTTAATGAAGGCAAATCGGTTCGTTATATCAGTAAAACTGTTCTTCGTCAATATTAATCCTATTTGGATTATATATCTGGTAAGGTAAGAGACTAATAAACGTGCCCTTATTTTTAATAAACCAGAAAAAATTGTATTTTATCGTATTATTATTTATATACTATTACATTGCGATAATATAAAAAAATAAGAATATTTTTTAAGAAAGTATGAAATTTAATTCTTTTTTAATAATTTTTCCCCCAAAACGGCCTTACTTTCTTCCCCTTTTTCTTCTACTTCCAAAATACAACGTTGAGATAAGGCAGTAGCGAAGCGAGCGGTCACTACGTACATCACCTTCTTTATTGCATCATGATGAAAATGTGTATTTTTTGTTGTTTACAAAAAGACTTGCCAAATATACATATAAGACAAAATTTTTTCATGCAGTTGATGCTTCTTTCTGGCTTTTTCAAAATGCAGGGATACCACACTTGTTTCGGTACAATAAGATCGTAATGTATTTTCAATTCGAAATTAAAGAAAAACATCCCACGAAAATGTTTGCCATCGTAGAACAATAAGTGTATATTTGCAAACTAATGCAAAGAATAGAGTGTCATATCTTAAAAGGTTAGGAGAATTAACGAAACAAACAAACATTTGATGGTCTTATCTTTCCTTCCGCATTGCTAGTTTTTCTAACTCTTCCTTTTGTTTAGCGCTGTAACCGCTTAAGTTATATTTTTTAATTTGTACATGTGAGTTATTTTCAATGAGCATTTTTTCATTTGCTCCTGAATTTGGGTACATTTTCTTATAGTACCTCTCATTCTTTTTTGTATTACATATATACACTCCGATGTTCGCGGTCCCCTCTGTTGGTAATAGTAAACCTCCGAGTGTATTCTGTCATGAAAACAGCTTCTCATAAAAATACAATTGCCGTTCGGAGTCGGCGTAAAACTGCCCTTCCACTTTGTATGACAAAATCAAGGCGCACGCCCCATATCGGAGGAGAAGATAGGCCAAACACTAACATATTGTGTAAGTATATCGTCGTTTAAAGTACAAAAGCGCGTAACGTGGTTCTGCAAAACCCCGTAACCGACATTTGTGCCAAAAAAGATATTTGCTCACCGGAAGCTCCTATCATCAAGCCCTTAATCATTTATACTAAAATTTCGATATTTAGACATAAGAAGAGATAATTAAGTTTAAAAGAGAGAACCGTTTTGAATTATGACAATTTTTACTCTCTCCTATAAAATTTAGGCAACCACACCTACAAGGTTTTGCGTTTTCTTGATGCGCGGTTTTGTACTTTAAATGACGATATGTAAAAGTATTGCATACATATTTTGGTGCCTTTTCAAGTATAAAATCCATTGAGAAACGAAAGAAAACGGCATCCCTATGATTTCAACTTATGCCAAATGTTTTTAATATGAAAGACAAAAAACGTAAACAAGCAATTTCTGAACAAAGAACTGTTTATCCACAAAGCTGTTTGAATGGAAGCATTACATATTTGAAGAAATGGCAAACCGCAAGGCTTTATTGGCAGTATGTCCTTTTTAAAGCACATTAACAAAAATAAGCTTCTAATTTCAAAGTTAGGCCAAAATGAAATTTTTTTGTTTGTTATTTACGAAAAAATACTTGTCAAGTATATAAGGAAAAATTGTTAAATATACATATATCGCTTTCATTCATTTCTTCATAGAGTTGGTGCATCTTTTATAGGGAAATTCATACGGCTTATGAACAGATGTAAATGCACCTCACATACGCGGTTTTGTACTTTAAACGACGACATAAGTAAGAGTGATTTCACAGAATTTTTGTTGATATATAATAATAATCGTTTGATTAAAAAGAGTCACATCTTACTCGCAAGAGCTAATAAATTTATTTAAATATTTATAGCCCATAAATTGATTAGTTCTTATCAATGAAATCGAATCCACTACATTACTACTTAAATTGGCTCTCGTAGGTGGCATAATGAATTTTAGGCTAGAAAGCAGCCTTGGAACACTGACCTGCGTTGCAGGAACAGCTAAAACTATTTTAGCTAACTGAGCTAAGTGCGGTTTCCGCAAAGACTGATTTGTTTCCAATATTGTAGAACATCAATACTTCGTTCTTGCCGTCTTTGATTAGCAAAGGCCACTAAGGGAGGACGGATAATTTCAGAGTTTTCCGGTCCACTAAGATAATCAGAGTTACGATTCGCGTCTAACTGAGACTGCATTAACTCAAAATCATCAGACTCGTCATCTGAAGTGACAGCGGCAGCACTGCTACCTTTTTACACATTTATCAGTGTTGCTATAAGTGACGATATATAAGACTTAAAAGTAAGGCTACCCACATACTAGACAACAAATTTGTCATACAAGTCAAATTTTGTGGAACGCCACAGTTATGCTACTGAATAAAACAAATTTGGTTGCTAGATCCTGCAGCTGATTTTTATAAGTTTCTGGAAACCGACTGAAACCTGTGCTTGAAACGGTTTCGGTTTCGTTCCTTTTCAGGTCACGATAACGGTTACGGTTTCGGTTTTTAAAAACGAAACGGTTTTAAACGGTTACGGTTTCGGTTTCATTCCTTGCTTAAAATATTTAAATATTTTATGAACTCATTTTGTAGACTACTATTCTTATAGTACAACATACAATTTACAACTAACTATAGATCAACAGTTTACACTACCAAGTTCCGCCCGTTGGAGCCCTTTTGGTCTTATAAGATTTTAATAGACTATTTTATAGAGCAAAATGAAAGAGTATTTTCTCTTCAGTTTTGCGCAAGTAAACTATTATAAAACTTTTGGTGTTATCCGGCTGCACACCGGATGTCTGAAGTCGGCTTTTTATAGACGGGAGAGAGAAGGGAGTAGAATTTTACCTCTGCAATTTCAGACCAGTGTTGCCAGTAACTGGGTTAATAAAATCCCGTCCAAATATAACCTAAATCCCGTTTTATACTATAGTTATAACAGAAATCCCGCGCTACATGTATCTATTATTCATAAAATGCTTTCGGATGAAAAACACAATCATGCACATAGGATTTATATAGGTCTTTCCACGTCAAAACGCATGCGGCTCTGCCCAAAAATGGTAAAGAGCTAAAGTAATTTTTAAGATGTGAAAAGTGTGGCGTTTTTATGTAGAATCGAAGGTTATGTGGCACTTATAAAAAAAAATAATAATTCGGTACTAAGTCACCATTTTCATTTTCCGACCAGTCTCCCAAAAATTTTCCTATGAATATATAAGTTTTGGGGTCGTTGAACCCGAATCCGGGTCATTTTGGTCTCACGAGGTCATATTGAGGTCATTTGAAGGTGAACTAGACAATCTATTGAAACCTCGAAAGTGAATCCAATCCAACTGATTAAAATTTGCTGTGAAATTTATCGAAGTGATTTTGGAAAAATCATAACTTCCGAAATTTTCTATAGATTTTTATAAATGGTACCTAGTTTTACACTATTTTCAAAGTAGTGAATAAAAGAGACTATTTTCTTTTAAAATTTTTACAAAAAATGTGGTTGAATTGGAAAGAATAATAAATATATATCGATGGTCCTCTGCAATAACGACACAACTCAACATTTCATGTTTTTGAGTTGTATAGCGGGCTAATCATATTTTTCTGTGGCAAATCGACATATGGCTAGTTGTTACGAATCCGGCAGAGGCGCAGTTTTGCCATTTGTCACAAAACCGAAGTTGCCAACCCTTACTACTGAATATTGCCACATTAGTGATGCTTCAATGTGAAATAACGACACTTTTCATATTGTGCCGTTGTTCATTACATATTTAGTTTGAGTAAGACAATTAGTAATTCTTTTAAGGGCAACAACGACACTTTTCGTTTTGTGCCGTTGTTCAGCAATAAAAATGGAGTTTTCTGCGTTTACTTACTTAGGGTTGTTACTTATTTCGTATTTTTGCCGTCCAGCACTTACTACATCTTTAGAAAAAGTCATAATTTGGAAGCTTACAAATTTTCCTAACAGAATGACTGCAAATAATCCGGAATAATTATGTTCCAAGACATATTATTGCTAAATTACGAAACACAAAATCTTTAATTGGCTCTACTGAAAAATATGAAATTTTGAGTTATGTCGTTATTGCATAGGACCATCGATATTTGCAATATGCTCACAAAACTTATTATTTCTTTAAATAGTACAAATATTTTTCATTAGTCCCCTTTCAGACACGTCAAGTCTTGCTTTCAAGTCTGCTCGTTCGTTGGTGAAGGAGGTGGGAAGAGAGGGGAAGAGTACAGATACCTCCGTACCGTCAATTCGTTTCAAGTTTTCTTGTTCTCTTTTGATCTTTTCGTTGCTTCCCATTTAAGAACCAAGGACTTGAATTCAATTAAAGTTGACGCGTGTGGAAGCAAATAGAAAACACAATTGCTTTCAAGACTTGACGTGTCTGAAAAAGGACTTACAAAGTCATATAAAAACTTAAAATTGGTTAAAAAAAATAGCAGAGATAAAAATTTGTTAGTGCGGGAAGTCATTCGAAAATGTTTTTTAAGAATATGTTGAGAATTTTAGGGTATTTTATGATGAGAGAAAGAGAACCTAATTGTGTTGTCAATCACACCTTGTTTAATACAGCTAAGTAACTACTGCGGCTGTCAAGATTTGCGAAGAGGGAATGATCAACGTAAAGAAAAAAAATCAGCGATACAAAAAGGGAACAATGGTAGTCGAAGCGACTAAAGACTATGTGAAATTCAATGGAATTTGTCGTCAAATAAGTGAAATCACATTGTCAAACGGGATTAAAAAGCGGTATATCGACCAATCAGCGTTGCCAGGTTGACGTTTTTAAGGTCATTTGGACGTTTTCTGTATCCTGTTGACGTTTGGACGTTTTTTGTGTAAAAAATGACGTTTTTTAACTTCCCAGTAATTTTTCTTTGTTACTAAATCTTATAAGTAGAACTGATTTTGAATTATTTTCTTAATAAATCTTTACAATCTTTGTGTTTTGCTGCAGCTGCTTCAAAAGATTGATTCTTGGACTAAGGATCCCGTGTTCAAAGGCTGGTTGTGTAAACACTTGAGGTTACGAGGGCTGCTGTAATGTTTGCAATTGCACATTAAAAGCCAAATCAGGAAGAGCCGATCTATTGCAGCAGGCACGCTCGCAAAAGCATCAAAAAAGCTGTGCAGCATAAAACGGCAGAAAAAAGTAGGCGACTTTTTTAAGACTTCATTGAAAATGTAATGAATGCAAAAAAGAGTGAAATATTAGGTCCATTCAATAACTTTTCCAGTAAGTACTTGCAGCGAGAGCATAAAAGAAAAATAGAGAGTAAAATTGAGAGCTAGAGAAAATTTTCTGAAAAAGTTATTGAACGCAAAACTAGTAAAAACTTGCAACTTAAGCCACTTTGACACTTTCTGACGGTTAAGTTTTGGCGCGCAATTTTCTTTTTAATTGGGAATAGTTCCCATCGTCATAAAATAAAAAAAAAATACAATAGATTTAAAATTTTCATCCATATTTTCATTTCACTAATTATGTTTCATCAAATCATCCTCTTAAACAGTTGTTTACATTTGAATTTGAAACATAACCTTACTTTATGACTCCTGCAAATTCCTGCTAGTAAAATTTTTTGATATTGAATGGACCTATTGCTATGTTCCTTCTTAGCAGAACGTAATTTAGCATTTTCCACAACTGAGCCCCTAACCAAATGTCTACAAGAAAAAAAAATTATTAAAAATCAACGCGATTATTTAGCCCCTTTAAACTTCCACATTATTGCCCTGAAATTTAATGGGCTATCAAACTGCATACTCAAAAAAAAAAAATCTAAAAAATCTGAACAAAAAGTTGAAAATCTAGCTGAAAATTTGCAGATTGTTTATAATTTTTGCACAATTTTTGTGGATTTATATTTTGTTTGTTAATCAGCTTGGCTTTTATGGAAAAATAATAAACATTAAATAAACGAAAGAGAAACAGCCAAAATCGATCAAAATGTTGATGACTTAATCAGCTGATCACAAGTGTATTTATAAAATGATTTTTATATTAACGATCTCAAACCAGTTTACAATGAATTTTAAATGTGCTCTGTCGAAATGACATTTTAATATACCTTACGTACATATCGAGCCCGAACCGCCAAAATAACGGTTTTTTTCAAAATTTTCTTTTTGATGCAGAAATGCATCTAAATGCTTTAGGAATATTTCTGCATCAAAAATAAAATTTTGGAAAAAATGTCGCTTACGTTATTTTGGCGGTTAGGGCTCGATATGTACCTTTGTATACAATAAAAGTTTAATAAGAACAATTTTTTGTACATTCATTTGAAAAAGACGTTTTTGGATAGGAAATGACGTTTTTTCAGACCAAGATGGACGTTTTCTCATGCCGAAGACCTGGCAACACTGCGAATCTCGATCAAGATAGGTGTTTAGTCGTGTACATGTGCAGTTAAATCTGTTATCTGTCTGTTTTTGGCCCATAACAACATCAGTAATGTATAGATAAAGGAGATAAAATTGTGTCAAAATATGTCGAAAAATTTTTATAAACTGAAATATTAATCATTTAATTACCCGGACCCTCAAAAATCGGACATTTTGATGTCCGGATGTGCCGTCAAAACGGACACGGACAAAGCTCTAAAAAACCGGACTTTCCGGGTGAAAACCGGACGGTTGTCAACTCTGCTTGGTACAGGCTAAATATTCACATGCATAATCCAATAACGGATAATCTCAAATATTTATAAAAATGTATTTTGTCATAAGTCTGAAATAAACAAGTAAAAAAGTCTTAGTTCGGGCGGAGCTGATCATTAGATACTCGGCGCAATTACTAAATATAGTTTTTATAGCAGGGGTGGTTTTATCCCTATTTCAAACATCTTCGATAAACCTGTATAGTTATATGTGAGCGGCATCACGCCCATTCCACGAAATTCCATAATAATATTACTTGTTTTCAAGGGAATGTTGTTAGTATCAATTTTGTGTAAGTTAGCGTCCTTAAATTTCGAAATATCGAAGTTTGAAGCATTTCTGAAATTTACCGTTATATAAAAAGTGGGTGTAATTTTAGTCCGATTTCAATAATTTT